AATTATTCTTCCCACCAATCATAACAAGTCATCAGACGAAGACCCACAAAAGCTGGAGAAAACCCCCCGCACATACTCACACTGTATGCATCGCACCATCGCAGTTACCTTTAGCACTGAGGACGACAGCAAATTGATCACCACAAGATAACAGAAAATTCTCTCAATAATGGAAAACACACAAACTTGAAGGGTAATTACAGGGTAATTGCAGAGTATAAACAAAAACTTGTGTTGCAAACCCGTAATACTTAAATAGGCCTATTGACAGTATTGACTGGCATTTATCAGCAATGCAGAGGAGCGGCAACATAAACTTCGTGTTATTTCGGAGCAGGAACACCTCTGACCCTGCGCAGAGGTCAGCTGCAAGTATCGCACATATACGCACAAACACACACTCAAACACTCAAGCTGTCACAAGCAGGGGGAGACCAGCTGTTCCTCATTCGCTCGAAGGCTCCATTCCCTCCACGGGTTGGCTGGCTTTGCAGAAACCATTAATCCCTCTGTGAACGCAACCGATGGTTTGGAAAGATCAACCATGAGAAAACACAGAGGGAGGGGAGAGTGAGGATGGGGCTCGAAAACACTTTTTTTTTCCTTCAATTTTTTTTTTCTCTCTGAAATAAATACTGAAGTGGAAAAATAGATTTGTCGTATTTCCTCGGGGATACAAACAATACGGATTTTTAATGGAGATGGAGCAGCAGACAGTTCATGTAACATCTACCAGGTTTTAAAGGAAACTGGAGATACATGACAGAGAGACTGCAAACAGGCAAGTGTCTAAGAATCCCAAAGTTACTGTGAAGCACACGGGGTAGGAAAGTTTCTTACCGATTACCACCGATCATGTATTTTACTTACTACAGAACAAATTGTCCAAATGTTATGAGTTCATTCAGTTTGTTGCACAATTATTTTCAATAAAATTACAGGTAATAAGCACAAAGGCTACAATTACTACACATTTACTCTTTTATGTGAATGAAAAAGGGAAAAAACTAAGAGTTAGCGCTGAATAAATTGCTCTGCAGCTTTAAAGTAGTGAGGGTTTTGCATGTGCGTGATTATAAGGCGTTAATACAAAAGCACATATAGATGCTTATTACAGCTCCACATAATAACTCCGTACCGATGATGTGTGAGCTGAACCCTCTTGTCTGTCTCCCTTCATTCATATCAGTGGGATTAGCGAGGATGACACAGACCGTCAGCAACACGTGATGCTTGTATAGTAGCATGCACAAACACATACAGGTGGACAGCAGGCTTCCACCTCTCTAATTCTGCGCCTATTCCTGCCTTAAGCTATTAGCCCTCCACAATAATAATGTGTAACCCATAATTGCATTAAGAACAAGTAAGGAAAGGGGTAAACATTCAGTTCAGCCAGGAAGTATTAGGAAACTTATTTTTGTGTTGCCTTAACACCGCAGGGCATTTGAATTTAAAGAAAACGGAGCCTGGATCATACATGTTTGCACATACACATACACATCAGAAAAACAGACATTTTCAGCTGTGCTCCAGTAGCTCGTGATGTGCCTAGTTTTTAAGTTAGCTTATATATTTTTTTTAAAGCAGAGCTAAAACAATTCTACTACAACACTTCCTGACGGCACTTTATATGTATAGTAGATAGTGCTAGTCAAAGGAAGAGAGAGACAAATAGAGGAAACTTAAGGTCTTGTCTCTGTGTCCTGCTGTCAGCTTCATCACATTCAGCCATCCTGATGAAAATGAGCACTTCCTGCTGTTGAGAGACGGGCATCTGTTGTCTGTGTGCATGTGTGGCAGCATGGTGGATTGTGCCAACCTCGTTCATTGTTCCATCAGCGCGTGCACACAGCCATATATCGCAAGGCATGAATATCTGGAGTTATGCATGTGTGACCATGTTAGCTATAAATCAAAGCGCTTTGCTCCCATAGAATCAAAACCAGAGTGGCTACGCAGGAAGACAGACGCTACCTTGTTGCTAAAGCATTCGCAAGTACTAGTCTAGGGCCAAAATGACACACAGGGAGTGGTTTCTTTCCACCTAGCTAGGGGGAAAAACATGTACGAGTGCACAGTGAAATCAACGTCAGACACCTGAACACAAAGCAGTTTAGCCAAGGACAGCTGAGTACACATTAGGCATGCATCCTCGTGAATGTCCTTCCAAACACAGGCAGGGAAATTAAAATCCCATTCAGGCCCCCCATGGGAACCATGCACTGGAAGGTTGCATAACTGTCAGCCACAAACAGCAATGGTTTCCTCTCAGAGGCAAAAAAAAAAAAAGTGATCTGCTGTGTTTTGACTACAACCTGGGCACCGAGTGTGTCACCAAGAGAACAGACTTATTCAGGTAAACACATCAACTGACACATCCCATATGGCTATGAGGCGCTGCTGCCAAGTTCTGGTCTCACTCCTCCCTGTAAGTTACAAGCTCTGCTCCCAAAATATACCCCGTCTCCTCCCCACACTGCCTGCTAATTCTCCAGCCCAGAAAAGTACAGCTGAAGATGTTCTGCGGATTATCTCCACAAGGAAACCACGTGCAAGTGTCCACCTTTGTTAATCTACTGAGCACGCACACAATTCAGGCTACAAGCCAATCGCACATACAGCCAGGGAAATGGCTCTTCTGCTTCACGTGACACTGAAAGTTTCACCCACCTGTGCCGCTCTGTGGGATGCCACTGACGGACAACTCCATGGCCAATGCAAGTGCTTCGAGGCCCTCTCCCTACTTAAGGTTGAAGGAAATGGTGCAACAGAGCTCGACTCAACCGTTTAATGCCATTATTAACACTACTTATAGCTTTAGCCAACCAAGACAGCGCCCAGCGGAGAGGAGGCAGGGCCCTCCCACCTGCACCTACATCTACATAAATATTTTAAGAAAGCACCGATTTCACTTCTGCTCACGTCTTTGTTTTTACAACTCTCCTCGGAGAATAAATTTGAATTTAATGGTACGATAATGTAGATGCCTTCACGCTATGTGTAAACGTCCACTTTAATGTGAGACGATGAAAAGGACAGTGCTTCGTATTGGGAGAATTTATTCAGGACGTGTAAAAGGAATAACGTGTCAACTTTTCATCAATATGCATGTTTTAACATAAAACGCCATGCATGTAATGCGAGAGGCTCTTCACGGATATACAAGCGCCTCTGCAGAAAAATGACTAGCAATTTCTTGAGCTGTACACTGCTCAGGGGGAGCGGGTGGGTAAAAGAAATGATTTCATTTAGTGGCCTACACCATCTTATTGTTTTCACTCAATTATCTCTGCAAAAAAGTAACAAGTGTAAAAAAAAACTAAATGTGTAACACTGAATGCGGAGCTCCACTTTCCCGTTTCCTTAAATGTGAAGATTATCTGCCTCTGATTACCACTGAAACCTATGTTGCCTGGCAACACACAATTAAGAAGTACGCTTTCCGATCAGCAGCAAGGGCCGCCCATTATCAGATGAAGTTAGTGAAGCAACAAATGTCAGCGCCATGCAAATGAGTTTGTTTGCTAAAAGTGTTATGGGTACGTTCGGCCGTCGCCGTGACCTTGGAGAGACGCGTACATTTCCGCGAAACTGCGAGAGGAACCCTCCTGCCTCCCCCACATCTCCTTCTCCCTCTTCTGATTCTCACACCTCGCTTCTTATTTCCTTGACAACACATGAAGGGAAGCCACTTCATAAAAGTCATTACTCTATAACAAGTGCAGCGGCCCACAGACCCATTAGAGAGTCCGGCAAGATACAGGGTTACGTGGCTGAAAACAAGGTTAAAAGATTTAATTCCTCCCTAAGCTCATCAGCTCTCATCAGCGGGGAAATATATCAACTAGTTAGAAGGAGAAATCAAAATAAGCTGAGATGATGCCTCATTGGAGAATTCACTTGCAGTATCTGGACATAAAACGCTACCTCACTACTTGTGTTAGCCTTGTTTGAGGCCCATTAATAACTGTATTTCCGCGGATCTAAATATAAAAGCACACTTAGGAAAGTTCCAAAAACATTAATTTAGTAGTTATTTCCTTAATGGCTCTGTCACTATGAAAAAAGCTATAATGAAATTTCAAAGTGAACATCAACTGCTGTTTTTTAGCAGTGAATTTACAATCTATACTGTATACTGCTTCTTGGAACATGTTGGAAAACGTGTATAATGCAGATCAGTGGACATTTACTTAATTAACTCAATATATTAGTTAAATTTGAGTTTATAACAAAAGAAACACTCTTTTAGTTGCGCTGCACTGGAAGCAGGATTTGAGTGGAAGCGTGGAGTCTATAAAAACAGTTACCTCCTATAGTCGACGCAAATATACATCCAATTAGTGTAATTGGATTTGAGGCGGTTAAGCCCCAGATTAGGAGAGAGTGCAGCGTAAAATAGAATGACAGTAGCTCTGTATCAAGGAAATAAACTTTTACATATAAGACAAGCTTAACATTGATGCAATTCTGTCACTTAACTCACTCTGTCTAATATCTTACACTTAAATAATCAAAAGTGTTTAAAATGTGCTTTCTAACTTCACCAAATCAAGTGCAGGCAACCTTGAAAAGCAAAACGGAGCTGCAAACGACTCCGAAAGCACATTCGTGCCTGAAAATAATTCTGACCAACAATTTTAAAAAGAAATAGATGGAAAAAATGTTGACCTCAATAAAAGCAGTGCTGCTCAAAAGAAATATTTCAACTTGATGATGAGACAGGATCCCCTCTGGCAAATGACACAACTCTCTTGCAATACATGTATAAATAGTTGCGTAATTCAAAAAAGAAGACCCCTCCGAGCAAAGCTACTTAACTTGTCAGATGCATCTTGCATGCTACTCCTCCATTCAAAAACACTGTCAGTGTGATTTTTTTTTCCTAGTATGCCAAAATCCATGTCAAAATATGTAGAACTAATATACAGAAGAAAATGATTACCAACTTACAAAAAAAATGTTATTCAGCAATAAGGATGGAAGGTTTGCATAAATTAATGAGAAAAGTGAGGTTGGACGTTACTTGTGTCAGGCGTAGTGACCATGGTTGAGACTATGACAGGTGGACCGGTGCGGCGTCCCATCATCTTGTTGTTGTTAAGGTTTTGCGCTTGAAGAGTGGTGGCAGAGCTGACGGGAACTATGGTACTCTCAGGAGCAGCATTGATCCCCTTGCGGAGAAGTTGTGGGCTGTGAAGGGGGCTTGCTGCTCCTACAGGTGATGCTGGGGGAAAGTTGGGGGCTCTCTTCATCAGTTCCATCGGGGAATAGGAGCCAGAGAAGGTTTTAGGTGCAGCTCCAGGGGTGCCTGGAGCAGGTGGAGGCTGGTTTCCGAGAGCAGACATGGCAAGACCGGTGTGGGCATTATACATGGAGAAGGGTCTTCCCTGAGTCACAGCACTGCTATATCCTCCAGGGCTGACTGGAAAAGCTCCAGGTGCCAGCGGCCGTGCTCCTGGGTAGGTGGTGGTTTCCAGGAGATGTTGGGAGGGTGCGCTGCTCGGTCTTCTACCCAGAAATTCTCCCATTCTAGGGGAAACTGTCTGGACAGTGGTGGGAGGTTGCTGCATCAGGTTGGGGTCCATAGTCAAACCCTGCGGCTGCACGTAGAGGTCATTGCGATGGCTGAAGCTATTAGATCGGGCACGTGTTGCCATCCCACTTGTCTTGCAACTGAGCACCACTCGTGACAGAACACGGGCCTGGGCCAAATTAGGGGCCACAGACCTAACATCATGGTCCTCCATCATCCCCAGTGTGGAAAGGGAATCAAAGCCATGTTGCAGCAGAAGTGTAATTGTGCTTTCAGCCAAGCCTTCCCCTCTTAGGAAAGCCAAGAAAGCGGGGTCCACCATCTTCTTGGGGTCTGCAGCACTGGGTTGGTGAGGAGGCAAGGTGGAGACCATTCCAGCTGTGGCAGCCACCATGGCTGAGCTGGGGTCATAGTTTGGATCATAAGGCAGCCTCTGGGAGGCTACAGCTCCGTAAGCCCTGGGGAAAGCTGCGTCCATTCCCTGAGAAGCTGGGTCCACCAACGAGCTGGTGGCAGCTGGCTGAAGGGGATCCAGGCGCAAGCTGTTGATACTGTTGTAAGTTTGACGAGCAGACAGCGGTTCAGCAGCGTAAACAGGAAGTGGGGGCTGAGCCCCGAAGATCGCAGTAACGGGAGAGCTGCCACCAATACGCTGGACGTCTGGGATCATCTTAGATCCCAGAGTTTCCCTGTACAACCGGCTCAGCTCATGGAGCGGAGGGGGAGGCGGTGGCGGAGGAGGCGGGGGAGGAGGGGGAGGAGGAAGAGGTGCGGGTGTAGGTGTAGAAGCAGAGGCCAGTAAAGAGGGTGTGGCTCTTGCTTGTCCTTGATCCCAGGAAGACCTAACCCCCCCAACGTTGGGCCCATAATGCAAGGCTGATCTGGTGAGCAAGTGCTGGTTATCCCTGTAAAACCCAGACTCCTTAGGTGGATGACCAGATAAGGTGGCGTCAGTGAGGTAATAATCCTGAGGTGGTGCTGAGGCCCGGCCTGCCATTAGCTCCTTGAGGTAGAGACTGCTGCTTAGGTCAGGTACAGAGGTTTTCTTCAGTGGTGGCTGCCCATGCTGGTCCTGCTGGATCTGTCTGTACAGAGAGGAGTGGAGGACTGGATCCCGTTTTTCCCCAAGATCTAGGTGACTGTGAAACCAAACGTCTCCGTCTTCCCCACACAGTGCAGAAGAATTTCTACACCCTGCAATGTTACCGCAGTAGTGACAGCGACTTGCAGCCCTATCGTTCTGGCCTTCACTCCATTCAGGACCACGCTGGCTCAGAGAGCCACCAAAATACGACTGTTCACTTGAGTTAGGCATCAGTGAAGACAATAAATAGGGCAGCTATAAAGGCGGAAAATAGAGCTAGGTGTTATATTTCAACTCTCCAGTTACACTCAGCCCCAATCAAAAGAGAGGAACAGAGAGGAAAAAAGGAAAGGTGAAGCAGGAGGTACCCTTTTACCTGATGTGCAACCGAAAGCCCCCCTCCCCTCCCCTCCCTTCTCAGTCTATGCTATCATGTAGCTCCCTGCTGGCAACCTATTTAAATAATTCAGTCCTGGAAACATGAGAAATCTGTGGGGAGAGAGGCCCAACATGATAAAAACACAGAAAGAATACAAACACGCAGAAAATTAACACACCTTTAGGTTGCAGCTCTGCTCCATTCTACTGCAGAGGTCATGCTTGTGCTGGGTATCATGGTTACTTTCCAAGCTAAGACTGAGGGTGAGAAATTGGGGTTAAAAAACACATGCTGGACAATGGCAGCAGAATGGAGGAGGGGGCAAGGCGAACTAATCCACTGGGGGTTGATGCACGCCATTGGCAGGCGTAGTCTTCTTGTCCACTGCGTTTGCCACAAGGGGATTAGCATCAAACTAAAACCTGCTTAAATCCACTGCCCCTTGTGACATCACTTGAACTAGATAGTATACACAGCCAACATACTGCTGATACCTCTGGATGTGTTTATAGAGAGTAAAGCTCGAGTGTTTACCGCTCACCTCTCCATTGGCTTGCAGCCGGTATCCCTCTGGGCATTAATGGATCTTCCCAGAGGGACAGAGGAGGTTGGGGATTGACATGGTGTATTTCCCTTAAGAGAGGGGGAGGGGATGGTTACAGTGTCCAGTCACACAAGTACTACTGTGAGACACATTTTATTTAGTGACTGCTAGAAAGAAGACAGGACACCACTGGGCAAGTTGACATATATGAATGCCTATAATCAGCCATGTTCTAATGATTGTTTTCGTCATGATTGATTTATACTACGATGAGTAGTGTCTGTGTGGTCCTTGTAATGCATGATCCTAGAGACACCTACTGCAGTAGGCTGGTGTGTCAACATAATAGTATCTCAACTGTGCACAAGGCCCTGAAAGAACATTACAGGTGTGTAGCAGAAATCTAAATACGTGTGAACTGAATTAGTGCATTATTACATGGTACTAAGCCACTATATCTATCAGTTTGTCAGCAGGCATTCTGGTCGATGTGAGCCATCACAATATCATCTGTGCGCGTCATTTTTATCCACTCACAGAACTTACACTTCGCTACTGCACACCAGATGCGCAGCAGAGCAGATGTGGCTTATGAGATGTCACCATCAGTGAGATAACTGCCAGTGTTTACTTGCTGTGATAAGAGCAATGCAAACAGTGGCAGGAGGAGAAGAAAGGAGCTTTGATAAGTGTCTGATAGGAAAAAAGGCCGATAAAGCGAGAGGCTGCCAGTTTTGACTTTACCTCGAAAACAGATAATGTGAAATAGGACAGGGAAGGAAAGGAAGGGGAAAATGACTGGACTATACCGAATAGATTGTCACATCTAAATGTCTATAGGATTGTTTCTGTTCTGCGTTTTACCCATCAATGAAATAGACACCTCGGGTTTAAAGGAATACCTTTCGCTGCAAGTCTCTAGTGACATCATCTGGATGCTTCTGAAGCTAAGACACTGAGACAGCGTGACTGAGACGGGCTAAATTTATTCCAGTTTAAGACTAACAAGAAACTGCTATAATGCTGTGTCTCTTTATGTTGTCCCACTACCTGTCAAACTGCAGAGCCAAATGCTATAACTGCCTTGTTTTCGACTCCAAGCTTAAATGATGCAATAGTGATAAAATATCTAAACAAAACAAAAAAAACAACAAGAGATTTTTTTAATTATGGAACATCTGAATCAGAGAGCATTAAGTAGGTCAAACAAAGAAGAAATCAGAACAGTTTTGTTTCTCCCTGCAGCTCTGTGCAGTGCATGATGTCGCACATCTGAAGAATGCTTTCTTTTATTAGAGGTAACCCATACCTAGCAATTTCCGTGCAGTGATTTCTCAGTCCTGTACTCTCAGGTCTGAGTCTCCCTGCGCCTTTTTTGTCAACTGTAAAACACACCATTAATCACTGTGTTGTATCTCTCTGCGGCGATCGCAGACAATAACTTCTTTTAATAAGCCCCTTTCAGGGCTGTGTGTCACTCAGTTCCCGCTTCCTGACAAAATATTAATAACAATAATAAACATCTCAAGTACGGTCGGACTGGTGTTGCTTACAATGAAACAAGGACGTGGCTTATCATATCTCCCGCAATCTATTAGCAAAAGAAGCTGTGGTAGCAAATTCATCTTGTGCATTTTCCCTGACAAGCCTTTCTCTCACGAGAGTTGCTCCATAATTAAGTGAGCATACTACACTGCACTCATCAAGCAACAGGGATCCTGTGTTTGCTTGTATGAATAATACAATAAAGGGAAACTCCAAATTTAAACACTGGATATGTGGTGAACGGCATCAAAATTAATGCCAAAACCTCAGCTTGCTAGCTCACAGCCAGTCATGCGGCTCTGTGAAAGATCTCTAGGTACAATGTGTTGAACAGACGTCCAGCAACAGTCATGCCTTTGGAGCAATCTGGCCATCTTTCTAGGGCACAGGACGCTAACGGCGAGACTTGGCAGGCAGTGCAGGCAGAGATAGCTGCAGAATGATTTAGATAGCTGCGACTCTACAACTGCTGATCCATTAAACTTTCATAGGGACTTCATAAATTAAAACCATGACTGGAAGAACTTGAAAATTCTACTCAATTACTGTGATTGTACAGTATATTAAAGTTTTAACGAGCCTCTGGGCCTTTTCTCACTCAAACACAAGTGCAGGCAGGAAGGAGGGGCGATGAGGAAAGAAAAACACATGGTACCAATTCTGGTCTGATGGCTTTCAGAGGGTTTACATCTGCTGTGTTATCAAGACGCTGTCCTCTGCCTCTTTACCACCTCGCATCTCTGCAGTGCACGGCTCAGCATGTTACAGATTTCAAGGATGGGAGGAACGCAGGGCAGAGAGAGAGCCGCTACAGGGCAAGACCTCAAGTAGACTTGGTGAAGCAACTGATTAGAGTTTTGTCTTCCATTTTAGCAGGTTGGTATTTTCCATCTTTGCCTTGTGCACAGCCCCACGCTCCGCCTGCCTATCATTATCAAGCCAGTGGCCCATACTGCATCACAGATGGGGCAGACAGAAGGGAGAGACGACAGCCCGCTTGCATTTTGGAGCTGCAGCTGAGTGAAAGAAGAGGGAGGGAAGGAGAGAGCAAGAGAGAGAGGAAAGGAGAGAAAATGTAATTTTTCTCTAAGTCGTTGGTGAAAAATGATTTGGAGTTCGGCTAAATGAAAGAGCGCTTTTTGTAGTTAAAAGCAGAGATGTGGGGGAAGGGTGGCAATATTCGTATGCGCTGAACGCCGTAGAAGGCGAACGTTATTTATTTTCTGTAGTGTTAATGCATAGTGTATAAAGGTCAGTACGTCTTCTGGCACTTTTTATTTAAGAATAGCCGCAATCTATGTTTCATCTCCCAAGATAAGCTAGACTACTGATTCATCAGTGTCTTAGACAAGCAGCTGCACGTAATCCTGATAAAACACCTATAAAGAAATATAATGCAACAGATTTCTTATCCTCAGTGATTACAATTTTAGCTATAAAGCAAAAGGAGAAGGACATAAGAATTACAGCAATTTTCAGCCAGTGGATGTGTTGTCAGTGCTGCAAGTGATGCCAGTGCTAGGTAAAAGAGACTTCTGCAGTAAATCTTTGTCGAACCTATAGCATAACCTACAGTTCACGACACCATTGCCTGCATTCAGGACTTTGTGTGGTTTTTAATCTGTTAATTACCTCATGGTTGTGTCCCAGTGTTTTATATGTGGTACCAGCCACAATAGGAACAAATAGGATGCTTTTCCCTCCTGGGTCCGCCACTCTTTTTTGGGAGGTCATTCCCTTACGTACATTCCAATAATTGCAATTTCTGCAATCCTTCTCCAGCACATATTTGAGTCCTTATATTGAGATAATCATTCCTGTTCTCTCACTGACAAATTCAAAAACTGCAGCAAGAAATTACTTTGAAATGCACAGAACGAATCGACGGTACTGAACAGGCCAGTCGAAGCAACGTGTACTTACATTTCCAGGGAGGTGCATGCTACCATGTAGGATTTCAGAGATGTCTGCGATGTACCTACAGTGTAAATTCAACATTTAACAAATATAAATCCACTGACAGGCTCCAGCCTCGCTACAACCCTGAATTGGATAATGGGTAATAAATATGGACTATCCTGTTCAATTAATGTACTAATATATACTGTACTACATGAAAACATGCCACAGCTGTAGTCTAAAAGGAAACATATTCTAAGTTCAAAATTAATTTAGAGTAATCAACTGGCAATAAACTGGCAATAAAATATAAGAAACAATTTTGACACCATTCCTGGGATGGCAGTCCTCAATCCTCAATGCTATAAATTCATTGATTCATTCATTATGAATCAGCCAACAGATATATTTTTAAACCTTTCATTCAAGCTGTATCGATTGGGTTCTAGTTTAAAGAAAACGGCCACAAAATAAGCTTCATTGAATAATCAATTAAATAAAAGATCACCAAAAATATAATTTTCTTAACTGGTGACTCTAAGCTTCTCTGAATCAGTAAAGCTGGTAAGAACACCCAAACAGCTAGTTACATGACTCACGTTGTTTTTCCTCAAGTGCTCAATCCAGTTCAAAGTTCACACTAAACAGATTCACTATAACGGTTAGAAGCAAATGCAATCAGAAACTAGAAAGAACAATTGTGCTTCTGTGTCTGCAGAACTACTTTTGTTTTGCATCTAATAAGGATAAATTATATTCCTAATTATTCCACCATAAAGTGCCATCATGTTGCACAACATGAATAAAATGCAGATGCTGATAAAAACATTATCTGACTAGATTAGAGCGGCACTAATCTAACCCAGAGGGAAAAGAGTAATGCAGTCTACAAGAAAAACAACAATCTTTGCAAAGAAAAAAAAAATGGATCAGGAGCAAAACTGTCCTCCCTCCCAGCCACTCGGCCCAGTTGCTGCAGAATGATAAACATTGGTTCAGCTCAAATTAAGCCGAGAACATGAAAGGACCTGAGGCTGGGAGGAACATGGGCCGTGGCAGATCACTCCTCATCTCTTCAGATGACAGAAATGAATCTCTCCACCCCTGAGAGAGAAAGAAACAGAACAAGAGAAAGAGTGAGAAAGAGAGATAGAAAGCATCTCTCTATTTCTCATAAAGCCGAATTAAGGCTGATGCTTCCCAGCAGCTGCTTTGATTGAGCTAACTAGCAGCTTTTGATAAAACATTTGCAACCAGCTCCCTGCCTTCTTATTTGCAGACAGGCCAGATTATGCTAAATACATATCAAGGACTTTAATGGCTTAATCAGCCTTGTCATCTAGCCACCGGGTTTTCAGAGATACAGCATATGTGATCCCACTGCCATAAATGCTAATATAAAGACAGCCAGAATGAACAATTTGGGAAATGCTATAATATAAAAAAAAATTAAATACAATTTGCACCTTGCGTGGCAACGAGAGCTGACTTGGATATGACAAGAGGTGTATTTTAATGTTGGGAAAACAATGGAAACAAAGGCAAAGGCTCTGTTGGACAGTGCAGAGAGAGTGTAGTCTCAGCAGACGTTTTCCAAAGAGGACGTTCCAGATTTTCACTTGAAAGAGATTGAGAAGAGACAGCGCAAATCATGGCTTCATCTGGTCTGTATCTGTTTGCCAACTGCGAGTCTGGTTGAAGTGTGAACCTGGATTAAGATGAGTTACTCCAGACAGTAGCCAAATGAGCCCTGTGAGGCTTTTACCTGTGTGTGAAACCAAAAGCAGCAGATCGCTTCATGTACGCTTTCTCCTTGCTCAGAGACAATCGCCATAGCAGCCTTATCACTCCACTACATGCAATCAGTGGGACAACTCGGCCTGGTCACTGGCTCGTGAACAAATCACAAGCTGTCTTTTTCCCCCCCTCTTTATGCCCTCACAATAGCAACCAGGGGACTGATGCACTGATCCTGTATGACGGCCATCTGGAGATCTTGTGTGAGTTTTCACGCCGGCGTGCTTGTGTTTGCGAGTGTGCGAGAAGGAATGTCGGCAGGTAAGCTCACCATGAAGCAGCTCTGCATGCATCACAGCAACACCTGTTACCGTCTCTCTATGCGTCTCCTGTGGGCTTTGCGCTCAAGCCAAGCAGACAAACTGTTGTCCCTCAGGAATGACTAACTACCTCAGCTGTCTGATTCATGCAAATTCAGCAGCTGGATCTAGACTGCAATGGTAATCAGGAAGTTATTTCAACCAATAGAAAAAATCCTCCTGTTACTTATGACTCACCTTTAAGGTCAGGTGATTATTAAAGAACTATTGTTCAATTTTTTTTTGTTGTGCTGTGTATTATAAAGTTCATTTGTAATTATAGCCCATAAAAAAACTTTAAGGAAATCTTGCAAATTTCATTGCTTCATTCATTTATTAGTTAAAAAAAAAGATTCATAAGGCTGTCATGTTGGTTTGCTGAGCAGCACTAAGAAAACTGCTAGCACTGCTTTGTCCAAAGGAAACAGCTTGTGATCAGCAGCAATCCTAGGTAGTGAAAAACCTCCATGTTAAAACAACAGTTCAGCAGGGGGTTATGTACCGTATTGTTTCTTGGCTGGGATAAGTGACTTCCTGGAGTCTTTGCATGTTGACTGGCAAATAGTCCTGGCCAAGAAATCTCCGCAAGTTTTACAGGTGGTGAAAGTTGATTTGGGCAAAGCAAAAGCAGCTTTTTCACCTTTCCAATCTTTATGCTTAGCTAAGCTATCCAGCTGCTGGGGGCAGCTTTCCAGTTTGGATTTTGGAAGGCAGAGACTCCCTCTCCACCTTCCCTTATCCCTTAAGAATGCTGCTTCAGGGATGTATTTATATGCCACCACTGCTTGTCATTACATTTTGTCTTCTCTCTCCTAAAGTTTGTTTGTTTGTCTCAGTCTCTATTTGTTCTCCCTTTTCCCCCTCTTCTCTTTCTGCTTAACCCCCCATTCAGCCATGGCAGATGATGGCCCCTTTGAGCTTGGTTCTGCTGTTTAAATAAAGCATGTGGTAAAGCATGTAGCATTTGGTATGAATCTTCTCATGTAACTCTGAGTGCAAAGGGAATAAACTAGCTATTGACACCCCC